TCTCTAATCTGAACCTATTCTCCAGCAGCTTCTGGTCATTGTTCCTCGTCACCCCAGGTGCTGCTGGGGGGAATAGGGCCCTTCCTATTTGCTGTTGATCTCCCCTAACGAGTCTGTAGGCAGCCACCAAATCCCCCCTCAGCCTCCGCTTGCTGAGGCTGAACAGGTTCAGGTCCCTCAGCCTCTCCCCTTAGGGCCTGCCCTGTTGCCCTCCAACCAAGCAGGTGGCCCTCCTCTGAACCCTCTCAAGGAAGGGTTAGATGTTCAACATTAGGTAATTAATCCACTCTGCAGTAAACATCTCGTGTAGACTCACCCAGCGTCACTATGTGTGTGAAGTCACAGCAGTCTTGAGCTGTAACATCTCATTTGGATTAATGCAGAACTTCCCATCGGTATCAGTGGGAAAGGAGGTCCTTTTAAAGTAAATGGAATGATATGGCTCTCTAAAACAAGCATGAGCTGCTGTTTTATTTTGAGGTTCTCACATGATCATATTAAATTGCTAATTGTAGTAAATTGCTAATTGTAGTAAATTGCTAATTGGGCTGTATGAGCAAAGTTATTCCTTGTGTTGTTTCCTTCATATTTTGATTTTAAAATTAACCTAGCAGCTTTTCTTGGATCAGCTAGTGATGATCCTGTCTTTACATAGCTCACTTAAGTGAACTGGAGATTTTTCAGCTGAAAGAATCAGCAAATTCTGGATATACTGATATCTTTAAGTCCATTCAAGTATTATTTGCCCAGTACAGACAGAACATGCAGAAGTAGGGACAGTGAGCTGAATCCTGTTCTACCCACTAGACTTGGAGATGTGACTTACCTGTCATTTACCATAAACTTCTGGATGAAATTCTGTAATCAGCCCCCCCAAGAGGATTTCACAATGGTGATTTCATACCTGGATGGAAGACTACTAGGTAAGGCGTTCCATCTTTCTGTCTCCTGCCATGCCTGTCTTGCACCTGCAGCTTCACACCTCTGAAGTGTTTGTTAGAATGGCATGCAGAAGGAGCTGTGCCTCTGGGGACTCTGGTTGGACAGCCTGGGCACCATTTTCATTGCCACATGTCTCTTGTCCGTGTACAGATGATCAAGGAAAACCCCTCCACCCTTGGCACCCCTGGTGCATCTTATGGAAGATGTTGAACTGCAGTACAATTATGCTTGCAAACTCACCAGGTCAGCTGTGGAGAGAACTCTAGGCCTGCTTAGAATGTCCTGGAAATGTTCATCCATCTAATGACACATTGCAGCCTGGAAAAAAAGGATTGTCACACTATGTTGTCTGCTGTACAATGTAGCTGTACAACATGGAAATCTTCTCGAGGGACTGGACACAGAGGAAGAGGGGGCAGGAGTTGACCCAGGAAAAAGAAGAGGCAGAAGGGAAGGGAAGTTTTGAATCCAAAGTATGCAGAGACATAGTTCCAGAAGCAATCAAGCAAAAGCAGAAGGTGCTGTCCCACTCAGGCAGAAATGCCGCAGAAGGCTTGCAGATACTATGTGGAGGAATAGCATTGGAGGCAGTCAGGGCCAGCCTAATCCAGGAGGTGTTTAGTTAGCCTTTGGCATAACATGCTGGTAACATTCAGAGAGAGAACTCCATCAAGTCTACTGACTCAATTTGGGCCAGTTTCAGTCACACCTGTAGTGCTGACAAAGAGGCTGCTTGTGGTCCATAGGAAGTCAGCCGGAAGCCAGTCAAATGTATCTGTAGGAATGAGTCATGGCAGGTCACACACCATTGGGAATCTGCATTCCACAATAAATGCTGAATAATGGTTTCCCTTGTTTATAATTTTCAAAAGTGGCTTTTGTTTGAAAGTGTAAGAAGTATCAAGCTGGTGTGGCTGTTTAAATCAAACACCCAAAGGAATATGTGGAAAATATGACAGACTTCAGAAATGGAATGAGGCTACCCAGTAGTGGTGAGTCTTGGACTGGAATAAGGGGTTTTCAGCATGGGTGCAGGCCCAAAAGGTGGAGGTTCATGAAGTGGGGGTCCTTATATCTCTCTCCATCTCTTCGCAGCAAGAGGATTGCTGACCTTTCTGTCCCATATGACATTTTGTAACCAACCCTGCCTCACCCTGTACTTGAGAGCTATATGCAAAGGAAATTGTTAGATTCTGATTGAAATGGAGCTTCCTGGGAGCCTCCCCTCTTAGCAGCAGCAGATTGAAATGGTTGCTTCTAAGGCCTGGTGCCACCCATAGGTAGCAGCTCCACTAAACTGCACCAATGATACCGCATTCACTATGTCATCGCCTGCACAAATGACACTGCGCACCTCTATGAGAGGGTTCATGATGCCTGTGATCTCCTGTCACAGTTTTATGATCTTCTGCATCACCACTACACTTTGCGTGATTAGGCTTTCAATGTCATGCTCTACGGCCAAATAGATACGTTCCCCAAAACCAGAGATGTGGGACAATGCAGACAAAGATTAGGGATGACAGATCTCAAAAGAGGTGCTGTCCCAACCCTAGAGGGTTCTGGATGCAGATTGAAGCACTGAGGGTGAGGAGAGGACTCCAAGGGCCTGTAGTCAGGGTAGTTGGTTGTCATATGTTGAGCTCTTCCTGTAGGGTTCTGCAGGAGGGTGAGAGCCTCAGGACTCTCCCTCCCAGGTGCTGATGGTGGCTGTGATCCAGCAGCCACAGAGCTCTCACTTACCTCTATTATGGAGGCAGGTGGGTGGGGGGGAGGATTGTGAGTGGGTGGAGTGCGGGGCTCAGCCTCCTTCAAGATGGAATCTAAATCTGTGAAGTAAACACAGTTTTTCCTCAGGTTCCTGATTTGAATCCTCCAGCAGACTGCAGCCAACTATCACTCTGTATAGATGTGCACTATTTACTGGAGAGTCCCTCGACTTCCGAGTGGACTCAGTAGTCCATCCCCGAGCTCTTAGGGAGTTGGTACATTTCCACAGCTCCCCCAAGAAGGGTTGCACTACATGGTGTGTGGAGCCTTCTCTTCCAGCTCCACCGGCTGGTAGCCATAGTCACAATAAGCTTGGAACTAGGACAAGAGCCAGGTAGAGGGCAATTTTATGTCTTTGCTCACTTCCCCATCTTTGATGTGCTCTGCGGTAAGATTGAGAGAGACCTTTGCCAAAATAGATGCTGGCTGAAATCATCTCTTAGGGTGTGTCTGCAGGGAAGTCAGAGGGGGAACTGTCCTGTGATGCTGTGTGTATAGCAGTAGCCCCCCTTGGCAGTGTTTCAGTTCTGTCTCGGCTGCTGTGCAACCAATCAAGTGGGGCTGCTGCCCTCCTAGGCAACGGTTTAATTTATTTATGATTTATCAGGTCAGTGTGGCCAGCTGGTGGCTCATGCCATAATCTGTACAGTCATATAGTCTGTCTGCTTTGGTGCTGTGGAGAGAGTGCTGACGTCTCCCATATGGGGCATAGAAAAATAGGGTTGGAAGGGACCTCTAGCAATCATCTAGTCAAGCCCCCTGCTCAAGGCAGGATTCAACTTTGGCTAAATATTGTAGACAAGTGTTTGTCAAATCTAATTCTTAAAGCTTGGGCAAATCTTATACATAACTACCAAGCAGCATTCCTGAAATACCAAAATTGCTATTTAACTTGCCACAGGTAAAGCAGGGGGAAAAGAGCACTGTCAACCTCTTCTACTGCAAGAACAAGAATGAATTTATTAAAGTACACTTGAGAGATCTAGGAAAGACAACACCTCCTGCTGCAGGGGAAGGCAAAGACCCCTCCTCACCATCCACATAAGTCTGACTATGGGGCAAAATTCCTTCTTAATCTCAAATGTGGAAATTTGTCTGACCTGAAGCAGAAGAGCAAGACCCTCTAGCCAGAAACCTCTAGGTCTCAGCAGGAGCACTGGTGTGCCTTAGTCCAAACCCCCAGTCCTGGCTGTGGCTAATACCTAATGCTTCTGAGGAGGGTGTAAAAACACCCTGACACTTGTAGCAACAAGAAAGGGAAAACATTCCTTCTTGGACCCATGTGGTGACCAGACAAGCCCAGAAGCATACAGTAATAATCATGCATTCTCTACTCTGCACTATGACTTGGTGACTGCAAACTACTCCTGTATCACACATTCTAACTGAAGAGCAAGAAATTCCCTTTTTTCTTATTCTTCCCTTTCCATAACATTATCCCAGCTCCTTTTAATCTTCTTTCATAACCAAGCCAGTTGTGGAGCTCTGTTTCATTCCCCTGCTTGCTGGGCATCATCCTCTAATTTCCATCTGCTTCTAACTGTAGAGTTTTTTCTAGTGGCCTCTGAATAAGCTGTAGGAGGTCTCTAGGGTGTTCTTGCTCTCCACAACAGCCAGTGGAGCATATGTCTTTGTGCAGCCTACAGTAGCAGCTCTACATCTTTTAGGAGCAACTTGAGAGAACCCATTCTTTTCCTTCTCCATGTAGTATGTAGGGATCTCATAGGGAATTGGCTTTTTCAAGGTGCTGACTGTCTCTGAGTTGGCTGCAGCATACATCAGCTGTGAACTGCTGCACTGTGAATCACCTAGTGGAGGCATGTAAATCACTTATTCTCTTCTATGGAAAAGACCTGGGTGAAACAGGATCCATCTCCAGAGATGCATCAGGGCATGGCCTGCAGCTACACTTTAGTCATCTAATGTGTGATTTAGCATTTTGTCCAGTAAGTTTCCAAAGGGGCTTGGTAAAACTGTCACTTCACTGTGCTAAAATCCCAGCAGACAGAGAAGCCCACACTGTTCTACAACAACCTGTTATCCACTGGCATAGACACTGGTTGCAAAGTATATCTCTTTTCCATTGTTAGGTGACTGTTTCCCTGGGGAAGAGTACCAGATGGTGCAAGGGCAAGAAAACTAGCACGCATTTTTAGCAGCAGATTATGGCCATGGAATACTTTGATTCATGAGATATATATACAGTGTTAACATGTGTACATGTTAATGGGTGTGAGCAGAAACTATCAGCCAGAGCATTCATCTTTACATCATTTTCTTCTTTGTAGGTCTTGTCCATGTTGGAGATGAATTAAGAGAAGTCAATGGGATTGCTGTGCTTCACAAGCGACCAGAAGAAATCAGTCATATTTTGGTTTGCTATTATTTTTGTTTTGAGATTTCTTTTTTTAATCAAAGGAACTTGTCAGTACAATTAGATAGATAAAATTTGGCTGTCAGTTAAGCTATATAAGAGTTGATATGAACAAAATTTGACCTTTTTGTGCATTAGTTTTTTCCATATTTACCTTTTTCAGTTTTAACGTTAAGAAAGTACCGTGAAATCTTGAAATCATTCTAAATGTGATGCATACAAAAGATTAGCTCGGACTTAGAGCTTCCCTTTCATGGTTTGTTTATGGCAAGAATAGCTGATTAAAAATATATCCCCACAATAAATGTTGAATAATGGTTTCCCTTGTTTATAATTTTCAAAAGTGGCTTTTGTTTCAAAGTGCAAGAAGTATCAAGTTGGTGTGGCTGTTTAAATCAAACACCCAAAGGAATATGTGGAAAATGACAGACTTCAGAAAGAAACATTATATTAAATGTTATCTTTGCAAAAGCGAATATTTTACTAAAATTCTACAGAAAGTTCTACTGTTCTGTCAGTTACACCTGATTTGAAAGCTAGATGTAATTGTTAATGTGAAATCAGGGATTTCCAGTGCAAACCTTAGTACTCTCTTAGTTAGGAAGTTCCTATATATTCTTTCAGAAGAACAAATATACTATTCAGGCTTCTTGGGCCATAATAGGAACCCCCATATGAGTACTAATAGCTCTGCTCGAGGTGAAGTGCATTTCTCTCATATAAAAGAAATAAGGGATTTACCAGGTCCAAATAAGTAGAATCTGAATAGTTTGCAGCATTCCTTTGCACTTTTTCTATTAAAAGAAATATTTATCATTTTTTCAGGCTCAGTCTCAGGGATCAATAACACTAAAAATAATTCCAGCCATCAAAGAAGAAGATCGTTTAAAGGACAGCAAGGTATGCAACTCCAAGAAATAATGAAATCTATTTTTTACAAATATAGGGCACATTTCTGTAGTATTTGTGAATGCAAAACTTGCTGATTTAATTGGGATGTCCAGCTTACAGACTATAATCTGTTACAGATCCATTGAAATATTTTGTTTTCATTTACGTTAAAGAAACCTTTCAAAGCTAACTTTGAATCCTGTAACATTGCAAATAGTTTATGCATTTTTGCAATCCTACCATTGTTGCCATCTCATACTCTCTCTTCTTAATTTTCTGTATCCAGTTCTCATATTTTGTCCTTATTTTGACTGTAAACTATTTTCAATTAGGATAATCTCTTATTGATATTTGTGCAATGCACAGCACTCCATGGCCCTGGTCCTTCTTTGAACCTCAGGAAGCTACTATAATACAAATACTTAATTTCCCCAATTTCAGGGGTGTAGGTTGTAGCCATGTTGGTCTAAGGACATAGGCAGACAATGCCTTAATTTCCTGCTTTAATTTCCCCAAGTGCTTTGAAACCAAGGGTATCATTCTGTTTCCTTCCTGGTCATTTAAGTGTCCATATTTGGCCCTCTAAGTACTAAAAATGGCATTTACAGGGTAGAATTGTACTTCTGAATGTGTAGCTCTATACACATGGACAATTGTGTAGTTATTCAGATTGGGTGTGTGTAGTAGTAACCAAGGCCGTGTATGTGCCCCTTTTTGCTGTGTAGTAGCCTTAGCTGCTTGAAAATGGAGTCAGTCAGAACTTGTGACTATCAGACTTATGGTCAGGAACAGAAAGGGTGTATCTTTCTCTATCTTTGTCCCCATGGCTCCATTGGTTAGGCCACTCACCTGGAAAACTCTAGGTCCTGGTTTCTAGACCCCCTATTCTCCCAGAGGGAGTTTGAACCTAGGTATCTATGACTTCCCAGCATAGAATTGTGAACATTCTGCCACAGGTCAGCTATTGTCCTGTCTCTGGTGCTCCTTTTAAAGCTTGAGCTACTAATATAGCCCTTGGGGGGAGAGGGTGGGGAGGAGAGAGAGTATGGAGAGCATTGTAGGGAGTAGTTTTTGCCTCACTTGGAAAAGGGATTCAGGCTAGAATCCAGGGCTCTTCCCTTCTAAGCCAGCAGCCACCTCGCTGAACCACACACCCTCTTGCTTGCTTCTTTCCTCTTGCTCCACTTATCTCCTTCTTGTGGCTACCCAGGGGGCAGCTTCAATAGAGTACCAGAGAAAGTACTGGGTAATGGACCCCCAAACGACTTTTGCGTGATGGGGGGAGGCCTAGAACAGAGGGTCTCCAATTTTCCAGGGGAGAGGCCTAGCCACTGAGCTATTGGGAGAAAAACTCAGAGAGCTTTCTCATTTTGTTGCCAGTACATATGCCCAGTCTGTGTGCAAACTTAGATGTCCATGTGCATGGGGCTATGCAGTCAGGAATAGAATTCCAATCTGTGTGTAACTGCCAGTTTTGCCACATAAACTACCATGTACATCAGTGGTCAGGAACCTGTGGCCCACAGGCCCCCATGAAGAGGTTGGATTTGGCTCAGGAAGGCCTGACTGAGCACATAGCTGCATTGTGCTGTTTGTCCTCTCTGCAGTGCTGCCCTCTGCAGCCGTCCGTGATTCTCTCTTGTGCTTGCCTGACCTCATTACAGTTTTCCTGTCCCCATTGCCACTGGGGACAGGGATCAGCAGTGTGAGTAACCACTAGAGATGCACCTGTAGAGGTTGTTGGGGCCAATACCAGTAGCCAGTTTTTAAGGAGGCATATCAGCCGATACCAATCCGATCTCTGACACCAGCCAGGCAGCTTGGAGAGCTGCATGCAGTTGGTAAATCTGTTGTGGTGGAAGGGGAGCGGGAAGGGAAGGGGAACAGGGCAGGGGGGGCACAGATCAAGGTCCCCTGCAGTGAGGAAAGAGTGGGGCTGGGGCAAGCATGGCCCAGCTGGGTGGTGGGGCAGGGCTTGGGACAGAGCCAAGGGAGGGAGCTGCCGCTTGTCTGGGGTGTCTGGAGGGGGGCGGCTCCCGCTGCTGCACTCCGCTTGTCTGGGAGGGCATGGGGGGTATGCGCCCAGATTGGGGTGGGGCTGGGGCTGGGAGAGCTCTTCCTGACCCACCCTGCACAGATCTGAGGGCATATCTGGGGGCACAGGCTCCCCTCCCTCCCATGGCCTCTTGGATGAGTGGCAGGAGCAATAGCAGGAGCCACTGGACAAGCAGTGTGCAGCAGTGGGAGCTGCCCTTCTATGTCCCCTGGACAAGCCGTGGCTCCATCCTGTGCCCTGCCCCCCACCACTGTGCCCCAGCTGGGCAGCGCTTGCCCCAGCCCCTGCCCCAGCTCTACTCTTTCATCACCACGGGGGCGTTGATTTGCCCCATCACACCCCTTCCCTCCCCTCTCCCTTTCCTCCACAACAGACTTACCAGCTGTACACACCTCTCCAAGCTGCAGGGCTGTGGTCCTCACTACCAACGTGCTGCGGTGCAACTGCACACATGCACTGGCCATTTATCAGCAAAATTATCGGCCATTTCATGCCAATTTCTGATACAAACAATTTTCTTTATATTGGTGTTGATCTGATATTGGACCAATGTATTGGTGCACCTGTAGAAACCACTGGTGGCTTGGGCACTCCGAGGATGGGATGCAGATTTGGGGCCCATGGCAAGAGGCCGGTTCTCAAACTCTGGCCCAGAGCAGTAAGGTTGCTTACTCCTGATATAGATGACCAAGTCTAGACATTTAAAAGAACAGGAAAGAATAGAATTCCACCTCAGATGTCTTCTGCATTATAAAATGGGCAAATGTAGCTTGATATTTCTTCACATATACATATAAAGCTGCATTTAATACATTCAGTATATGACAATTGGTAGGGATTGCATCTTTTATAGGTGGGGCATGATAACTATGGAAATATCATTTGAAAGATGGTTTTAAAATTCTAAACAGAACTAGAAGCAAGAAGTATATTGTTTTTTCTTTAAGGTCTTTATGCGGGCACTCTTCTGCTATAATCCAAAAGACGACAAAGCCATTCCCTGTCAAGAGGCAGGATTGCCATTTAAGAGGAGACACATCTTAGAAGTTGTGAGCCAGGATGACCCAACATGGTGGCAGGCAAAGCGTGTTGGTGATACCAACCTCAGAGCAGGATTGATCCCTTCAAAACAATTTCAAGAAAGGTTTGTCAATAAAAGTTACAGGATGATATTTTTATTAATCATAAGCATAATGTTAATAATCTTTATGCTTCTTTTATTATCTCAACTCATTAGTCACTTATCTGTGGTCTTCTGACAACTTTGTTTGGAATAATGATCCCTAATTTCATAAGGGAAACTTGAGAAAAGCCAGACTGGATCAGACCTACTAGATGTCTCAGAGAAGTCCGAAAATCCTGGATGCAGACAGATTACATTTTGTGCATGATCTGGTCCCTGAAAGTGCTCTACAGTTGTGACATAACACATGTGCACGACTGCAGAGCCCTTTTAAAATGGCATGAAAAGTTAACCTTCATTGAATCAGCTATCAGCTGAAGGTGCTCTAGAGCAGAGCCCCTTAGGGAACTTCTATACTGTTTCCCTGCAAGGATTAAGTGTGGGCTATTCCACCTGCATGCTATGCCTTGGGTGTGCCATAGGGAGCAAGATAGTCTCCTCTCTTTGTAGCAGGGGAGGGAGGAGGAGATCACATGTGTATGTGGGGGAGGAACCCTACTGCTTCTCTGCGTACCCAGAGACCAGTCATGTGGGTGGGTGGCTCAGGGTATATGTCTCCCCCATTGGCTGATGCCATCAGCCACTGGGGACACTTTTCTTGTGGAGAGGGAGAACCCAGTCAGGATTCTCCCACCCCCAGTTGCTGTGCTGCTACTCCTTTGCCTACTCAGAAACAGCTGGCTCTCTTTAGAACTGTCCCCCCACTGCCAAGGAAAGTGTCCCCAGTGCCTGATAGTACCGGTGGAGGTGAGGCACACACAGTAATATGAATGAATCAATATACAACAGAGCCCCCACATTGCAATGAATGAATGCTGAGTCGCTGTCCCAGCTACCTGTCTCTGGGGAGGTGGGGGAGCAGCAGTTCAGCATTTGGGGGTTGGGGGCCCCTGGCTGGGACCCTCCTCTAAGGAAAGTGTACCTGATGTCCAGTGGTACAGGCGGGGGCAGGGGCACAGTCTCCCTCCTCCCCTATGGGGGCAATGAATACTGGCTTGCTCCCCCATCCAGCTTTCTCTGGGTGGGCGGGGGGGCGAACCCAGGGGCACTGCCTGCTATTGCCTAGCAGCTCAGTGATTGGGAGTGTGGTGGGGAGGAGGGGAGAAGGAGCATTGGCTTGCTTCCACAGCAGGCTGCAGTGCCTCCTGTCTCCTGGCCTCCTCCAACATGTGGGGGTGACTACCAAGGGGTCAGTGCATGGAGGCACAAAGGCCCCACCATCAAATGCAGAACGTCTGTTACTTTCAATGACACGGTAATTTTGAGCTCTTTGTGTAAAGTGCAAAAAGTTACAGCATGATTGAGGTGACTTTTCATAACTTCTGTAAGCGTCCCCCATCATGAACAGTTATGCAGTAAGCTTCTTGATTTTCATTAGACAATTAGGCCTGAAGCACAATGGCTGATACACTACTTAAAAACAAGTATATAAGGAGAAATTAGTTATGTATCCCTTGAGGCTTCCTGAATTCTGGACTTTAAAGATACTATGGTAGTAGTGCTTTTAAGGTCGGTTATATATAGGATAAACAAAGCATTGCTCTGTATTCTAAATTTAAACATTAGAAATATTTTCAGCAGGAAGAATTATTCACAAAATGTATTATAAAACAGATCTCCTATGAGAGTTCTTTATTTGAACTTTTAACCTCAAAATCTTCTTTGTTTTCATATTGCAGACTTTCATGCCACCTGAAGTTGTGGCATAGCATAACCACTGCCTACTGCTGTTGTCTTTCAAAATAAGCAGAGACAGTTTGCTGCAGTAGTCTGAAGTTAAGCAGAAGGCAGAGGAGATTTGCACCTTATAGACTAACCAAAATAGGTATATATCCATTTTGGTGAGAGAGAGAGAGAGAGAGAGAGAGAGAGAGAGAGAGAGAGTGTGTGTGTAGATAATTAGGGGTCTACCAAACTTGAGGCAGTTGCCGGTTGATTTTGTGGGTCTCCCCACACTTCTGATTGGCTAAGGGGCCCCAGTAGTTCCACCCCTCCCTACAGATTGCCAGATGGCCCCAAACCACTGCTTAGATTTTAACGCATCAATGAATGCCAATGAAGACCATGGAGACCATTAATTGATGCATTACTAAACAATCTAAATGGTCGTTAATGGCTTCCATGAGCTTAATCAGGGAATTAAGCCAATGGAAGCTATTATTTGATGTGTTATTAAGCAATGGAAGCATTTAATTAAGGTCTATAATGAAATACCTTATTAAAATAAAAAGCTATGCACACCATGAATTGCAAGTAACACTAGCTGTATACACTTTAGTAAGTAATACCAACTATATACACTTTAATAAAGGGCATTTTAAAAAGGAGTTTACTGAAACTAAATGCTAATCTTGAGACAAGCAGTTCATGCTAGATATTAAATGTGAGCATGCTGTACCCAGCCACAGTAGCTACAGACATTCTCTGTCTCTGTGGGATGAACGCTTGTCCATACACTGAGATGGTACACTCAGCGTTCACCAAGTTTGTTGGAACTGTGAGGCAGTATCTTGCCTGGGTACAGAGATGTGGAAACCAGTCATAGACAGAGTCCCACAACACAGGCCTGGGCCCAGGCACAGGCACCATTCTTTGATGAAGTTCATGTAAGCATCTTGCTTGTTGTCATGCTCTTTCCCCTGTCCCAGGATTCCTTTCAGTAGCTGAGGGTTACAACTCAGAATAGGGACCTGGTTGGGGTCCAAGATTCTAATAGCACTAAGGAAGGGAGCAGCTAGTTGTCTGAACCATGGTGGTAGTGACAGATCATACCTGTACTACTGGTTTGGTTTCACAGCTATTGCCTGGAACAAGTCCCTTCTGCACTTGTTTTCATGAGGACAGCTTGACAGTTCTTGCAATGCCTTGTCTTCGAGCCAGCTTAAGAAATCCATCAGCTTGTTGCATGTGTGGTGGAGCACAGCATACCAGCCTTCAAACCACATCAGGAAATCCAGGAACCAGGTGGCATTGTCAGCTACAAACATCACTTGATCTTGAGTGTTGCCTTGCCCTGAGAAATCATGAAGCTTCGGTATGCACTGTGTGCTGGGTGTAATTTCCAGTTCCTCGCTCGCAAACTTCTGGTAGTGCTGCGTATACCTGGTGTGGTAAACTAAGAATTACCTTCACAATGGGTTGGGGCACGGTAGAAAATTTGAAAGATGTGAGGTGGTCTGGCTCAATTTGAAAGACAGGCAGGTCTTTCTCTGTCCAGATCCTTGGTACAAATAAAATGTGCAGCACATAGTTATCTTGAGCGTTGGTGGCTTCATCGGCCACACTGGAGAACGAGTTGTATTCTCCCAACGCAGCCTTTATGGACTATACATGCAAAGCAATCACTGGAGGGAGATAGTCTTGGCAAAGCTTGTTGGCACACAGAAAACTGCCAACATTTGACATGTTTTGGTTAAGGTGGTCCCTTAACTTTGGGTGATCAAGTTTCTCCAGCACGATGTTTGCTGCCATGAAAGCCTCCACAACAGAAAGTGCCACCTCTCACCTCACCAAGCTGCTTTCTGTGGTCCTTTTAAACAAGGAGGACATGGTCGCTAGCTTCTTGCTCTGACCTTCAGCCTCTGCAACAGCCTTCCCCTTCATGTGTGCCTTGGACTCAAAGGGCGTTTCCACATGTGCTCTGGGAGTGCTGGTGAGGGGGAGTGGGGAGCTTTAATTAGAGTGGCTCTGAGATCCGCTTTAAATAAGGTTCCTGCAGCATCTCATGTATCAGCGTCCCCACACTTCAAAATGGAATTGGGGGCACTTTAAAGCTTGTCAAACGAGCTTTAGTTAAAGCACCTCCATCGCCATTTTGAAGCTCAGGGGTGCTGCTACGTGAGACACGGAGGCTGGCTGAAGCATGCTAATTAGTACACTCCAGGAGACTCAATTGAGAGCCGATTTATGCTGGTTTTCCTGAATGTATTTGGAGTTACGTTGCAGGAGGTACAGAAGAGTCAGCCTCCATCTGAGTGTTAGGTCCCTGCAGGATACTGTCTTGGATGGTTCAGAGCTGAAACATATTTGGCCATTCTGGAAGAGTGTTCATCATCCCTGCTCTTCCTCAGGCAGGAGTATACATGTTGCAGTAGCATGCTGTGGGTGCTTTAAAAGCCAGTGCCAAAACCCTCCCACTTCCCAGACTGGTTGCTGGACTGAGCCTAAATCAGGGGCTCAGCCTCTGATTTGCTCCCTCTTCTCCTCTCTGCCCCCGTGTGTGTGTGTGTGTGTGTGTAATAGACTTTGATTAGTCTGTAAGGTTAAGATCTACTCTGCCCTCTACTTTACTTTTCAAAATGAGGACATATTGCTTTGGGTTAAGAAATTGCAATAACTAGTATGCATATGATGAAAACCTGGTATTTACGAAGCAAGACAGAATAGCTATGGAAGGTATAGGAAAATAGTATGGCCCTGTACTTAAGCAGAGACTTGGGGAGATGAGTCCTGGATTACATTACCTGTTTTTCTTTTGACTGCTCATGTGAAACTGGGAGAATCATTCCATCTTTCTGTGCTTCGCTTTCTAACTTGACAATGGAGAGACTGACCTTTCTTTAGACTTACGACAGATAATTTTAAGCAAGTTGAAACACTGTGGTTCCAATGTCATATTGGGGGAAAAATGCTGTTCCATTTTGTTATATTGTATTTGTCAGGTTACACATCACATTCTCCAGTGTTGTGTGAACGGAAGACTTGATTATGTATGCAGCAGAGATATCTGATATTTAGGAGTGGATTTACTTTTTGGTCCTTGGTGACATTGCATGATTTAGATTCTGAATCCTTGTGTCCTCTATTTTGGAAATGTCCTAGAGCCAGGGCCTCTGTCCCTCACACAGCTCCAATTACACAGATATGCCACCCTTTTCCTAAGTGTGTGTAGGTTATGAGATATTTTTATGCTGACTAAATGCTCTTTTTAATACTATTTTTTACCACTTAGTTTGGAAATACCCAAAATGTTTTGAGGTGAAACATAGCAAAAAAACTGTCAGTCCAGTGGGATAATTTTATAAATAGAAAATACATAAATTTGCTATACCACTGAGTACAAGAATGAGCTACAGCAGCCTATAGTTCATAATTCAAATATCTAATATGTAGAGGACATCAGCCCAAGGGAATAAGTCTGAGAACATGAAAAATAAAATGACCCAGATCTGCTTTTGGCATTATGACAAGCTAGGATGCTGCCAAGAAACATGATTGATGGAGAAAGTGAAATATTGTCCAGAATTTTCCAGAATACTGGAGAGAACATTTTGAATATCTGGAATTATTTTCCCAAGAACAAAAGAAAAGAACAAATATTAAACAGAAGGTAATATGAAAACTAGTAATATTACTAATATCGGGGCAGCTTGAAAGTTGAGAACAAGCTCATCCTACCTTGAATTTCACTTTTTTAAAGAACTAGAGAAAAGATCTTAACTATGGATTGGATCTATTTGCTTTTGAGTAGCCAACTTCTTGTTAAATTGTGGGTTCTCAGTATGACTTAAAATCATTGAAAGTATATATGTTTGGTTTCTGCCTTGTGTTGAAAATCATTTTATTTTTCTTAAAGATGTTCTCTTACATGTCTAGAGTACAGCAACAGCAAACCTGGAAGGGGGTTATTTTATTTTTATATCAAAATATCCATAGAGGTTATTTGAATTGGTAGCATTTACTTGCAAATAGCAGGGGGGGTGGGGGTGGGATTGAATTAAGGAAGATAAGGAAGATTAAGGAATATATTCTCCATATTCTCCCTGGATGGCCATGGCAGTGTGAAAGCAAGGCCATTCCCATTACATTTCAGAGGGAAATGTAGTATCAGAAGGAATCCATTCTCAAGAGACAAACACCTGGATGCAATCTCATCCACAGATTTATATTTTTTCACCCTTGAATGGAATGTGTCTTTATGTCACTGGAATAACTTGACAGCTGAGAAAATTGGTTTAGCAGCCTATAAGATCTGAGAGTATGTTAATATTTTTAAATTTCTTAGATATAATTGTAAATCAGGGATATCACCACACCTGACAGACAGATGTATATCTAGGGGAAGGAAGTCATCTAAGTAATGTACATACACTCCCTGAGAACTAAATAGGAAAAAAAGTATACAAGGCAGTAGTTAGTAACTTTTTCAGACTGTGGACCAGAATGACTCAGCTTGGGTCAGAGGTGGGCAAGTAGACACTAGGACTCCGTTGCTGATGCCATTGCTTCCCCAAGCAGGGGGAGGTGGTTACTGATGCTGCTTCTCGCTCCTGCAGCTCAGGAGAAGCACCCGCTGCCAAAGGCCCACATCCACAGGCCAGATCCACTGTCTCCAGGGGCTGAATCTGGTCTGTGGGCTAGAGGTTGCCAACTCCTGATATAGGGCAGCAGGGTCAACGTTTTTGGCAGGCATGCTACAAATTAGCCCCACACCTTCCTCGAGTGCCAGTCTGATCTTTTTTCCCTTACCTGATCTGCTGCTTAGCTTTCCGCTTCCTGACTTGTGCTCCCTGCCTGACCTGACACTCTGCTTTCTGTTCCCTGACACATTGCAGCGTGTCCCCTCCCCAATCTGCTATTTGCCACACACACAGGCTGTCCCTGCCACTTATGGTACGTGTGCTGCAGGTTGGCCACCTCTGATATAAGATGCCTTGGGACAAGGTTCTTTTAGCAAGCCCTAGCCTTAGTGGCTGCTCGCAGACATTAAAAAAACCCACACACGTTTTACCAGAAGAAGTAGTGCGTTCCTTCGACCCGCATCTGCAGCACTGTATAGATCAGGCACTTCAGCGGGGCTTTTTGGCTATTTTATCTAGTAGCTGATTCAGTGCCAAAAAAAGCCTCGCTAAAACACCCAATCTATATAGAGGTTGGTTAAGCCGGATCCAATTCATGTGCTGCCTCTTCTGGGCATGTGCTGGGCTTGGCATGGGAGTGCACAGAGTTTAAAGTAAAGTGCCAGTTTTGGGGTTTTTTTTAACGTCTGCAAGCAGCCAATTGATGTAGTCCCCCAGCTGGAAAAAGTGCCAGTGCTGCTAAGACTAAAGTGTATAGAAGCTGCTGCAGAGAAATGCCACAGCTGGTGAAGATGGAACAAAGAGAAACAAACCAAAGCTCCTCTGCTGTTCCTGAGAAGGGGGATGTGGCTTTCAATTTTAATTCTCAGGAAAGCTCTGCTCAGGAAAGTGAAACCAGGGCTACCTGCCCAAGTTATGACTTTTTAGAGGGACTAAATCACTGCAGCAGCAGAGCATAGTAAAGAACTCCCTCTTGTTCCAGTATTCAGAGAGATTTTGAAGAATCTCTGTGACAGACAAGGATACAAAATACAAAGATAAAAAAGCAACTTCAACCCTTGCTACATTCTCCTCACTGAGTGCATCTATATGTTCATTAATATGCCATAATTACAGTGCATTAGGTTTAGTACCTGTAATTACAGGTACTAATTTAATGTGCTGTAATCAGCTTGTGCATTAATGCAGACGAACAGTTTTTTATGTGAAACAAATGTGTACTAGATTAATTATGCTGCACATTAGTGCATTGGTGCGCTGGTTTTGCCAGCTTTGCTAATGCGCAGTAGAATTACTCTGCTGTGAAGTTAACATCTCGTGTAGTAGCCACTGATGAATGTTTCCACAATATATTAAGGCAAAGTGTGTCTTAAACATGAGATCTGGAAATGAAATGGGGTGTGGGAGAGCCTGTCATGATTTCAAAAATGATTTTTCATTATTTTTTGCGCAAGTTAAAACTAAGGAAAGGATCATATTTTACCATAAGCTAAAACATTACTTTTATGGGTCATGTAAGCTCCAGATTCCTCTAAAGGACACATTTGGTGATAAAACACAAAAATAAATTGGTCTCATTTTCTAGAAAGTAATGCTGGGGCCAATTGCCAGGCATTGGGACTACTTAGAGTACTGGAATTCCACTAGTCTTCACCATTCAGGCCAAAACTGGCCTGAACCCCTGATCCCACAAAGTAGCTCTCCTTTTGGACATATGATGCAGGGGCTGAAGGGAACTGTGCTTAATAGTTACCATCCCATGTTTCTCCTCTCTAACAGGTGTTGCTGACTAAATCATAATATGCTGTATGACCACAGCTTAATGCCTGAGAGGACTTGGGGAGATCACTTCCCAGTGCTTCAAAGATGTGGGGTCAGGAGAGGAAGGGGGGTGTCCACACTCTTAACCCCTGACTTTTAGTGCCCTGAAGTACATGTACAGATAGAGAGGTTAATGCCAGGTTTTGTAAAAAGTGAATTTCTGGACTTGAGGTGTTTGCATGTAATTGTAACTTACTTGGCCTGCCAGGGTTTCCAAAGAACTGGGTTCAGCTGTTAGGAGAGACTCACTGATTATCAAAGTTCTTTTTTTAATTAGAAAGGTTTGGCATATTTCCTGCCATCATCTCATTAGTGAACACATGCTGAAGATGTGAATGTAGAAGCCTGGCTGTCAAGCCATATTTCAAAGCAGGCAAATTGCATGGAAAAACCTATATTTTATCAGTTACAGTCCTCTGTTCACTGTGTGAACTCACTGTTCATAAATATCAGGGAAGTCAAGCTGGTATTTTTCTAATTTATCAAGATAACTTCTTAGAACATTGACACTCTTGGGAAAGTCTCAGTTTCAAGAGCTAATAACCCCATTCTTAGTAATAAAAATAAAAATGTGGGGGGTCTATTTTTGCACAGCTTTGACTACTCTGCATTTGTGTGGATGTGTGCAAGAGTTAAAAGAGGTCAGCACTTTCCCCACCTGTTATTAATTATCATGCAAATACCTAGGCATTCTGTTACAGCCTCAGTGATCTATAGAGTTATAAACTAAGTGGTTTATAACTCCATGTACAAAATTGAAAGTTTCAAGTTGCTTTAAGCTGTGCAATACCATTACTTTAGAATATTTAACTCATTCAATGGCTCTCACACTTAATCCCGTACAAGTTGAATATTTCCAGACAGAGCAGATATATTTTTTAATCTTATGAACTAAGCAGCTCTTCAAACTGATCTGGCAGGAACTAGGTAACACCTTAATATTACATATTTACAAATTATGTATTTTTGACCAGATTTTGTTTTTTTTCATGTTTGGATACTATTGCAGCGGGCTTGGAGAATGTGAAAGAGCAGGTTTTTTGCGTATCTTGCATAAAAATGATAATGGAAATGGGGCATTTGGTAACTTTTTTATTTTACCTTTGGTAAAATGTTGAGGGGAGGACAGCAGAAACCCAAACAAACGTACTTTGGAAGTGGGCGTACTTTTCATTGTATCTGTATGTCTTTTAGTCTTTCTCTGGTGTTCATGTTTTGGCAGGTCCTTTTTCACCTTGTACTAGCAACAGCAATCTGAAATCATTACATTTAGCATTTTTAAAAGTGCAGCTAAACCAAAGAATTTATTACTTCTTGCAAAATGTTGCAAGAAAAAAATCTTATTATTCTTCATTTTCTATGCCATCCCATGTATAAATTGTCTATAATTAAAATGCTCTGTGCATGTCGCTCATCTGTAACTATTAAATATTTAGGCGATTGACTTACAGAAGAACTATGGGCACCCTGCAAAACCCTAGAACTGTGAAGAAGCCATTATGTAAGTTTCAACAGTTCTTTAGTTTTTTAGTGACCTCACTGGTATCAACTTTACAGTGCACATATGTTATTTTTAGTCATGCTGTGCTTAAATATTTTTGTGCATAAACTATTTGCTTGCAAACAAGTTGCCATGTGGGAGGATTTGGGTTTGAGTCCTATCCAGTGTTGTCAGTCCCCAGCAACCAAAAAACATGATGCTCCTCTCCCCCCTCCCCAACCTTACCAATCTTGCAGTATTAAACAATATTTTTTAGGCTTTTTATTTGACATTTGAGGTTCATTTTTTCTACCTTCTCTATGCAAGCACAAAGGCTGGAAATACAATTATATGTCAAATAAAAAAATCTCCATGAAAGTCTCTGATGCCTGTGTGATTCCATGTTCTGGGGCTTTAAGAAGGTTTCCCAAATATCCCAAGATTTACAGTAAATATCAAAAGAGTTGTTAATAGTGCCTGGACTTCTGCATGTCAGGATACAGGGAGAATTCAACATTTTTGTCTTGTTCCTCAGTCCAGCGATTCTTAGCCTGGGGGGTGCCTTGAGATCCTTCAGGGGTATTGCGGAGTGCCTTGCAATGTTAGCACTGTTAGTTGTTTAAAAATGATTCATAAGATAAACCCAGAAATTTCAATTAGGAATCCATAGTGTTAAAACCATCCTGACCTGCTGTGGTCTTTCTGAGTTCTTTGCAACAGAAAAATTGCTGTATTATTTTTATGTAGTCAATAATCAAATGAAAACAAAGAGCTGGAATTTCTCAAGGGGTGCCTTGAGTCCAGCGAGACCTGCCTTGTGTCTAAAAAAGGTTGAGAACCACTGCTTTAGCCTGTCTTAAGAAAATGAGAGTTTGGAAGGAAATATCCATTGGTATTTTCTGTATTGCAACTGTGGCTAATGCTTGGGGTAAGGAAGTTGGCAAATAAAAGAACCTTAAAGAAGAAAATGATAGCACATTCTATGATGAAAGGCAGGATGGAGGTCCTTTATTACCCTGTAGTGCAGTAATTGTCAACCTTTTTAGATTCAGGGCATCCCTCCGTAATTTGAATTTGGTGGCACCCTGGTTAAGAACTACTTCATCTTACCTCAGTGCTTCTTAACTCAGATGATGTTGTTGCTGCTGTCACCAGGGCCAGGTAGAACTACCCCATGCATCTTGTGCATAGTCCTTCTTGATTTAGCTGCAGCTAGAGTGCATGCTCCTACCTGCATTAGGGTTATCTGATATGCCTAAAGCACCCAGTCCTGCTGCAGCCCTTCTCTGTCCAGGCCCTAATCTCTCCCACTTCTCTTGGAAACAGATGCCTGTGGGACAGTTCCCTCTGTCGCGTGCCTCTATTTCTGGGAGGTCAGACCAGGAAGGGCTGTGGCAAGACTGATTGCTCCTGCCTGCTTTAGATTTACCAGATAGATAGCCCCAATGCAGATAGGAGCATGCACTCATACTCTAGCCCTTCCCAATCTGGCGGTGCACATATGCCTGGGGTGCTTCCGCCTGGCCACCACAGCAGTAGCCACACTGTGGCACCCTTACAGGTTTTTGCTGTACCCGAGTGGCGAACCACTGCTTTAGTATACGTGATCAAATGCTGCCTTGGATGCTTCTATGCAGTTCCTCAAAGTTAGGGGTAGACACATGCACAAGTGAGGCAGACTGTCCCAATATTTCCACCTTGTTGTAAAATGTAAAATGTTACCATGCACGGAGAGAGTTGGAAGTTGTTCATTCCCAATGTTGTAATCATTTATACCTGGGAAATCAGACACAAGATGATATAAATCTTCTGCTTTCTTTAAGCTACAAAAAGGAAGGAGTATGCACAAAACCAGTTATCTGACAGAACTATAAATTAATAAGTGTTTGCAAATTGGCTTCCATTGCACTGAATATTAGAATGCATATTATGAAGACTGCTTCCTGCTGTTTTAATTAGACACTCACAAGGTAGTCAATTAATCAGAGCTGCTAGATTAATACACATTTTGGCAAAGGTCCCTTGTCTGTTGGTGAGATATTAAGGGAAGATGCATTACTTCATAGATTTCCGTAGCATAATTTTAATAGCTAGTTATATAATCAAGAAGCTCTTTCTCTTCTTCCCACTGTGATGTCACTCATTTGTCTGCCCATCTTTTTAATGGTGTCAAACTCTATCTTTTATGCTAACTGCAGATGATCAGTCTTCTGAAAAAGGTAGGTACGCTGCCTGTCCATGTATAAATAAGAAATACCTTTCCTAATTATACAGGAACACCCAAAGCAAAGGTTAATAACAAATACAAATTGTTCCTATAGCAGTTTTTCTGAATTTATTAAACTACTTTCACTGAAATTATAAGGTACCTATATAAATAATGAGCCTCCATCTCACTCCAAATCTAGAATAAGTGGTTTGAGTTACCTACTATGGACTAGTTCCTGTGCTAATTTACACCTGTTAAGGTCTGTAGTACTAAACAAGGTTTATAATTGAATGTTATGTTTGGTGTTATTGAAAGGAGAGAACTGTTGGTTGGACAGCTTCTGAAACACCAATCCTGTTTACTTTGCTATCAGTTTGGACTGTGTTTTACTATGTTATTTTCATGCTAATCAGATTAAGTTTGTGCTACTTACAAAATTATGTTTGCAAGACTCCTTGTATCTTTTTAAATAGCAGGTGTTTTCTTAATGAATTTGGTTATGCCTCCTGATTATTCCTTCATATTGAACATGGTCCTCTAGTGAAAAAAAAAGTTGTTGAAAGTGAATTCCAGCAACTTTGCTCAAAGTAAAAATCACCTTCTAACATTAGATGGCATGACTTGGCCTTCCTAGGAAGTGACGAGGAACAGCTATTCAATAATGGCAAAAGAAAAAAAAAATGCCTCTGATCCCATCCATGCTTATTATACCTATAAAATAACTACAAATATATTCTGTTATAGCAGGCATAGTATTTCACTGTTACATGCCTGTAGTGAAGGAAGAAGAGGCTCTATTAATATTAATGGATAATGCAGTATCTGGGATAGAAGACAGGTATTATTTTGGACAGGCACTTTTGCAGTTTAAGAGCTTGATCCTGCAAATACTTATGTCAGTGCTTAAATTTTAGTTTTACAGATTTGCTTATTTTTTAAACGCATGTAAACTTTTGTAAGTTTTGCTGGTATGGGCCCCTGAATTATAAGCAGCTAACCAGGTATATTTCAGCAAATAGAATAATTTCTATAGCAAGTGTGGCGGGTGCAGAGATCCCACCTCAGGAACACAGCTGGGTATTCATATCCCTCCGCTGTTTCCACCACGTGAGGTGGGCCAGTAGGGGGTGCTCCTGCGTCGAGCCGCCCACCTCCCTGCGCCCGACCACCTTCCAGGCTCCGAATGCCTCCCTAGGGGCACCTGATGTCCGGCCGACCCCTCGCCCGGAGCACACTCGCTAGTCTGGGGGTAACATGCCGCCACCACCCCAAGAATGGACTGTTTTGCGGCCCTGTGTCCTTGGGGTA